TCCCTCCCTCTCTCTCAGCCTCTCTCTATCTCTCTCTCCCTTACACACACACACACACGAACATGAAAACACACATCACCTCAAAGTAACGTGAATGCCTCATTTTACTGTATGCACTGCGCGGCAGTGTTGATATACAGCCCTAACCTGCAGGGTTTGTACAGAGTCCTCTACTCACGGACTCAGCTCAGTGTGGCCCCTCCAGGCTTCCATACACATTTGCCTTTTTTACCATGGGCGTCACTGAGAGCAGGCAAATGCCAATAAGGCTACCATTTACCTCAAAGTGGACACACCCCCAGGCTGGGGCAGCATTACTGCCCCTGTGGTGTCAGGCACTACCTCACCTCTGTGGACACAGGGCAGCTGCCCACAGCCTACACACAGACATACACCATTCAAGTTGGCGCATGTGTAGGTTAACACACAAATGTGCATACTTTTTGTGTAGGTGCACACTTGGAAAGACAAAACACTCACAGCATACACACACACACCCTCAGTGCTATCACTTGGTTGAAATGAAATACCACTGAAGACAGGAGGGCCAGCCATCCCCCTGGAAGGTCGTACCGACTCCAGGGAATGGTACCCATTACATTCGGGTTATCTCTTTTTTGTTATATGGGACCAAGTGTCATCTTTTGAAATTTGGATTAGCCTTCTTTCTGTCAAAACAGAAATCGACTCACTGAAGTGACGAAGGACTGTGTGGACGGCAGCACAGCTGACACCCATTTAAGGAAGTAGCAAAAGGACAGATAACGGAGAGTAACTGAAAACCCGTGGTGGCCACGTCCATTGAATTAGCATGCACAGAAAGGGCATCTTCTTTCTGCATCATGGCAATCTTCCACAGTACACTTATGATGCCTGCCATTGGATCTTGATCATAGAAATAAGCTTTTGTGTCATGCATGGACAGTGCATTAGACGTAAAGAGGTGGAATGTTCTCAAACAAAATGAAGAGGCAACTCAAAAGCTGTTTTAGTGTCCTGCACTTTACCAATGCTCACCACTATAACAGTAATATCTCACTGCAGATGTCCATGGCAGATATCATAGTGTACTAGCCAAATGATCATTCAAGAATGTTGATTTGATTATAAAAGCCCTCTGTTCATTCCAATTCTGGGGTGAGCCAAATTTAACTGGGTTTACCACCCTTACAGGAACGGAATGGAAGAGAAACTAAGAAAATATGTTTTATATTTGGAGCCAACCAGTAGTTCATACTGGGTACTTGTACAGGATGGGTAATCTGCACCCCTCAGAAGTACCTAAGCAGAGTAACTTGTGGCAGGAATAATGGGTCATCGTCACAGATGGCCAAGCCTCACTTCTTCAATGTATGGAGCAATGCTAGGAGGAGGGAGGAGAGAGGACCTGGAATGCCACCTTTGGGCACAATGGGGGAGTCTGGTCCCAGAAGAATGCCCTCCACAAGCATCATTGCCACTTCCTGAGATCCATCACCTACTCTGCCCTCCCCTTCTCTAGCCCCTGACAGTTCCCCCTATGGAGCCTAGCTCTGACTGACCATTATGTTAGCCCCCACCCAGCCAGGCTGGTGTTGGAGTGGAGTTTTTGCACTACTGCAGCAGTCCTCGCTTCGCCCCCTATGCATCAAAGTTTAATCTACACCTGATGTTGGATTACCAATTAGTTTCCCTTCTGCTTTGTGTAAAACAGGTCAGTTTCGGAGTTTTGGCTGCTCTGTGTAACAGAGGCTGGCAGTCGCAGTGGGCTCAGTCCCAAACCTGTCCTGTTGTCAGTATTAGACCAACAGCACATGACCCTCACCCCCCCAATCGACCCAACCAGGGGTGGAGAGAGATACCTGCAAAGGAGGGGCTGTGTAGCACTTACTCATTCTCCCTGTAGTACAAATTTTCCATCATCCTTCCTATGCAGAGTCAGCCCAGTGACATTTCAAATTCAGAGCCCTCCTCCAAACAGCCTCTCTTCCATCATCATCCTCTCTCCCCCTCTCCTCTTCCCTAGGAACCCTACCTATCGTTCCCACTCACAGTGGAGTAAAATTCCCCCAGTTTGGCCCAGAATCATTGACAAATCAAATGGGATCCAGGCCTCTGCCATGTCAGACAAGGCTGGCCATAACTGCCCTTTAGAGTGGCGCCACCGGATGAATGTGAACTGCAGAGCATCAGCGATGGGAACGAGAGACTTGAGCGTGAGAATGTGAAGATGTGAGAGAAGACGAAAGCATGGGACAGGAAACAAAAAGCTGAGGGCCTCAACCCTCACTGCCATCATTGACATGGGTGAGAAAGGGTGATATGGCCGGTTGTACAGACAGATGTTAACAAACACTCGGAGGAAGGGGAGATGGCGATGTAGGAATATGTACGGTCTCCCCTTCAGTCCCCAACTGAAACAACCCCATATGAGTCCCCACTCCCATGCCAGCTGACAACCCCAAATGTCCCCCTTCAGCTCCCTCCAAAAGGATAATCTCCAACTTTCGTATGGTGAGGATCGGAAAGGGATCCCACATTCCAGAGATGCAGGTTTGGAATTCCAACACATCTTTGTAAAAGAACTGAAAAAGAGAAAAAAAACCTATTGATGTCCTTTGTTCTCGTGAGCTGACTGGGTATGTGTGTGTGACAGAAGGGGTTATAATGCTGCTTTACCTTCTGAGTCTGATTTAGATTAAGAAAAAAAAGATATATGAAATGATTATAAATCCATAAAACAAAAATGAAAAGAGATGACTTTTAAAAAAAAGACTCCTGAACAAAATGATTGGAGATTTTTTCATTTTATCATTGTTTTCTTATTTTTCTGTTTGTTTTTTGACGCTTCAACTTCTCTGTGTAAAAATGGAAAAAAAACAAACAGCTGTAGTCACTTTTTGACCATGCGTGCAGTGTAACATAGAAAATATTTCACTTCTTTTTCACATCTATAGTTTGTGTTGATAAGCCAACTGATCTGTTTGTCTGTGTGTCTGTCCAGCTGTCCGTCCCCTTTTATCAGGAGGAATTTACAACCAACAAAACAGGAATTTCTTTTTTATATTTTGTTTCTTTTTTATGAAATACAACTTTGGAGAAAAAAAATACCTAAACAGGAAAAATAATGCAACATAAACTGAAAATACAAAAAAAAAAAAAAACTGAAACAATCTTGTCATACCTCACACAACACAAAACTCAAAGGAACTTGGGAGGAGTCATATTTTGCAGGCACATGTGAAAGTTCAGATGCATATATAGATTTAAAAAAAAATTTATATGTTAAGATAATATGTGCTTGTGTGTACGCATCAGTAGAAGTTACAAAAGGACTCTTCCCTCAAGCTTTTGTGCTCTCTATCTTATTGATTTGGTTATCGGGTGACGGGAGATGCAACACAAACATGAGAAAATGTTGTGAGACGTTAGACATCATCTGCTAATGTGAGCACTTCTCCAACTTAAAGGCACAGTCTATAGACAGTAAACTCAAAATGTGAATGGCCCAGAGACTGAGGGATTATGACTTTTGTAATGGCTGAGTGTTTTATGGTATTGAATGTAGCTGACAGGAGGGGGCTGGACCTGAGCCCGGCACCCACAACCTAACTTCCACACACCAGCAGAAAGGATAGTGGTGTCACATAGACGTTACAAACAACCAACAAAACTGAGAATATATATTGCCCATCTGCAAGGTGCAATACTATGTTATGTATTATTGTATGTTTTTCTGTTTTGATTTTATTTTTATTTCATTTACATTTTATTTTGGCCATAACCAAGGATGTAAATACAAAAACGTACAACACTCAAGATTTATTGCAACAAAGTTAACTGCTCCATCCCACTGTCATGTAAGAGGAAAAAAAAAACAAATTAATGTGTAATTACATTTGTATGTGTGCACTCTCTCTCACATGTGCATGCTGATCCATATTCAGAAGTGCCCCGTGACATTAATCATAAACCCTGTGCCTCTTCTTGTTTGCAAAGAGATAGATTCGTACACCTCATATTCTCACAACATCATGAGACACTACACATGAATGCCTATAGTGTGTGTGTCCATCTATGGAATCATACTCAGTTCTTCCAAACTATTGACGTGAGTGTTGCCAGCAGCCACATTGGCTAAAGGTCAGGAGGGCTGTGAGCCTGTTTGGTTGGATAAAGTGGGATGTGGGAGCGGGAGATGTAAATAGAACGTAAGCAAGTTATTATTTGGCATGAATGTCAGCTAACTTGGCTGTAACACATCCACGTCATAGTTGGAAAAGTCCATAATGGATTTCCCCATTTGTCCGCCATCCCATTGCCTCCTAGAAGCCAGCCTAAAAATCCTGCAGGCTCAGTGGTCATGATTGAGCATAAACCTGGACCAGTTTACAACAGGGACTGGTAGAGACCCTGTTTACATTTGTCATTTCAAGTGTGATGTATGGTGGATGAAATCCAGATGCAATTTAAGATACTTTCGTTTACACTAAGCCACATATGTGCGCTTCCATTGGCCAGATCCCAAAATTTAACAGGAAAAGAATAACTTGTGCACTCTAACTCAAAAACGGCTAGCCAGCTAACAACTGCCCATAA